ACCTATTTTGCATTTAGTATTTGAAATACAAAACTATTTTTGTTTTTAGAGTGACATTTCTATGAATTCACTGTCGATAGCGAGCGGTGCGATGGAAAAAGATAACCGTTTATAAAAATATAATAAATAGCGCTGGACAATTAACACAGACTGATACTGAACTGATATAAATAGATATTTTTATCTTGTAAATACATATATAATATACATATAAAACACCCAGACCGATGAAATCAATCGATGACCGATGAGTACATATGTTTGCACCGTGCGAGAAATCGAACCCGCGACCATCGGATGTAAAGCGGTGTGACCACCGAGGCAGTCGAAATACATAATCTTATGAATTTAATTTATTCTAATTTGTTTGTGTGCACGGGGTGCGGTGTACGGTGCTCCCCCCTGCCTCCACCGTTGCTGGAGCTTGCATGTATGGAGCATTGCGAATATAAAATATCTAGATTAGTAAATTAATAAATTCATAATTGATAGACCGTTACGGTATCTATATATATTCGGATTAAAATAAGTATCGCAGTAAGGACCAGTATATAAAGTGATCAACACAATTAATTGATTTTTGAAATATATATACGGAGCCAAAAAGTCTTTGTGTATTCAAAAAATATCTAATTTGTTTGTGTGCGCGGGGTGCGGTGTACGGTGCTCCCCCTGCAACGGTGGAGTTACTATGTATGGAGCATTGCGAATATAAAATATCTACATTAGTAAATTAATAAATTCATAATTGATAGACCGTTACGGTATCTATATATATTCGGATGAAAATAAGTATCGCAGTAAGGACGAGTATATAAAGTGATCAACATAATTAATTGATTTTTGAAATATATTCAGAGCCAAAAAGTCTTTGTGTATACCAAAAATTTAGCCGTTCGGAGCCAGTCATGCACGAATTATTAGTAAAAAATGTGTCGAGTATATCGTACTATCGACGAATATATATGGCCACATCGCAAAATAGAATGCGACGTTGCCATACCGCCTGAGATATACGCGATAGGAGTCAAGTTATTCAGTGCAAAAGGTGGAATCGGCAAGTGTTTAGGTTGTGGCGTGATCAACAAAGTGCCCAAAGAGGTGTTTATATATATATATATATATATATATATATATATATATATATATAAACAGACCGGGACCGCGTTCACGAAAAAATTCATATAGGTCTATTATAGATTCTTATGATATGTTAAATCTACCGTCAGTTCAGAATGATTTTGAAATGAGAACTGACAAGAAGTATTATTTTCAAATGAATGTTGTACATGTTTAAAATTATACAGTTTCATTTTTAAATTCCCAAATTTGGGGGATAGAGCGATCACCAGCATATGCTATTTGAAAATCATACATACAGATATGTTTATGTATATGTGCCGGGTCCTAACATCAACATAATATGGGTGCTAATGAAAAAAGTTAAATCATCAAGCGTTTTAAAACGTGGCACGTGGAAAAGTTTCGTTATTTCCAAATACTTCAGGACGATAAAAAGGGGATGAGAGTAGGTACGAAATTACCAACCGTTACCGATGCTGTGTAATGCTAATTCAAGGTTATATCTTCAAGTTACACGAGGCTTCTTATATATTTTGTTATAAAATAAATAATAATTTGAATTCTCGTCAAAAATATCTTTGTTTTATTCAAATCATAATAAGGATAATAAAGAAATTTTGTTATAAAAAATATAATTTCATTTTTTCCGTTATTGCGTCTCTTAGAAATTTTCGTGTAGGCAATTGGCGACTTCGGTGACTTAGCGGTGCAATATATTTACTTATAATCATTGTAAGTTTGATTTTTCCACAGTATGAATATTTGTATTTATATAGTTACTATTTGTAAAAATTTAACTGGTCTCTGTATGTGGAAATATAATATATGAGAAATTAGGCAACTTTATAAACGTAAAATAACTCAAAACACTGTTTTTTTAGAATTTTTATCAATTATATGTTTGTTTGTGCACACTAATCTAAATAAAAAATAACTAAGAAACGGCTTAACCTGTTTATGTGCGATTTTGACTGATGTATTGTGGTAAACTTTGATTATTTAGTTTATAAGCATAATAGTTCTATTTTTGTTTCGAGTGCCTACTACGGTGGACGAATTTACGGGGTCTGCTAATATATGATCATTAGTATATGTTTTTAGCACCTAGTACTCAAAGTTCTTGCTGTGTTCAGTTTGAGACTAGATGGCGCTTATCATTCCATATATAAAAAAAATCGTATCGTAGTTTTTATTACCGAACTCACTTGAAGCGGTTAGACATATTTTTATAAAATTTTCGGTAGGAAATACGTTGTAGGATATTTTTTACATCCTTAGGTGATAAGGATGGACCCATCAAGAAATAATTTATATCGCCGGATCAGCTATTAATTTAATATAAATTATACCTCAGATAATAGACAATTAAGAAGATAATATGCCTGTCTGACGACTTGTTACACGGTTCAATTTCCTTTACTGGGATATTATGCGCTGTTTTCCTATTCACCACTTTACAATCATCCTGGGAATGAAAAGGAGCGATGACAGTCACATTATATTCTTACTCCATTGTGAGATAATAGGAACTTGAAAACGTTCAGATTGGTCGTAGAAATTTTCAAGTAATAATCAGCAACATGTTTCATCGTCGCCCACGGATTCAATTCCAAAACAGTTATTTCCGTTTTCATTATCTCCCACATCATAACTTTTACAAATTTCACAACTTTTCTGCGGATGAATTAATTTTGAATTTTATGTTTCTCCATATTTTATCCTCAATAAATACTTATGAATTATTGTTATAAGAATATCAGATCATTTTTAATGACTTTGTCTTTGTGTACTGATAAATTATTTTGACATTGTTATTTTAGATTTAGATTATAATTTTGTATTTTAAATTCGCTACAATAATTGTTATTAATATTTATAAATAAATTGACATGTTCATACTTTATATTTTCCTATTAACATGTTCCTACTCTCTACAGAGTTGATTACCAGTTGAATACCAGGTCATAAAAGGCATCACGTACTCTATTAAACGCAGTTATCATTGTGATTAGGGACAGCAATCGATTACATGTTTGCAGAGCATAGATTTATAGAGGGGTGGTGGCCTATTTTTAGTCTGTCCCATTTGTTTGTGCCATTCCGCCCCACGGAAACGGTACGGCATGCGTCCGTGTGCGTAAGTATGGATGTCTAGGAAATGGAGCCAATGAAAAATGAGTTTATACAATACAGTTAGCAATAATAAGATGGATCAGTTTACTAATTGTAAACATCAATATTTTTTATATAATTGGTATGATAAACTATTTCGAATCTAATGTATAGGTACTGACACGAATAACAATATTGATATCATGGATATGTGTTGCCATTCTAGAGGACTGTGCTGAGATGTACGCATATATGCACCCCGTAATTTCACTTTTCAAACGAAACAGTACATAGACTTTCGGATAAAGTCTAATAGACATGACATCATTAAGTGACATGTGTAAGAGTGAGCTGAGATTCTTCTATATCTTGTAATTATACTGTCATATTTCAACGATTATAGCAGACGACTTTATACAAAGTTTAGACAAGATGTTGCTTGAAGACGTAAAAGTAAAATGTCTATCTACTCGTATATATTCTTATCCACCCAAAGATAGTCTGGAAAAGATTGCTTAGCGATAAGACCGCATTTTGTACCAGTTAATGAATATTTACTATTTTAATTTTCTATTGTTCTATAATTGGCGCAATAAAGAGTATAAATAAATATAATCTAAATTCAAATAAACTTAATATAAGCATATTTGAATATTTACATTTTTTTAATTCTACCGCTCATTCGGAACGGAGACTGATAACAAAAAGAATCTGCAAGAAACTTGCGTATTGCTCATTCAAATAAATGTGAATTTTGTGTGAATACATAAAGTGACAAATAGCATAAATAAATGAATTGTTACTTGAGTAACAAAAATATAAATATAATTTCAGTATCAATGTTTTATAACAGACAGATAGATATACCTTGCATTGTATTATTAGTAAAAATATGACAAGTAATAAAATATTTGTATGCATAGTAACTTTGTAACGACTCCATTGTACACCATCAACAATATGCCATCATTTTTATGTGTTAAAACATTCCTCATAAGGAGACCACACACAATTATATGCCTAATGTTGACTAGTTAAAGTAGTTGACTTTATTATCATTGTATAAGTTTGTTTCCGCAATATTTGCATTCCCTTTTATAGGACGTCATATTGGAATAATACGCTATAATATATGCAGATTCGTGTAAGTTATGTAAAATTTCATCATAAAATGAGTTTGTATGTTTAGTACACATTTGACCGTTAAATAATAGTAATGAAATTTTGTATATATATATATATATATAGGATGTAAAAGGCAGGATTTTTATCACGCTCAGTCATAGTCAAAGGGATGAATTCGAGGGTAGAAATTTGTAAATAATTTGTCTATGAATTATAGACAATTGTTGATTACACAAATGGATATATTAAAGTTAAGTAAAATCTTTTCGGAGCTATAACATTTTTTTTGTACTAAAGTAAACACTGAATAATTTTTTTTCTTTCTTTCTTTCATTTATCAATATGTACTTAAGGATTTGAATTAGGGATTATTAAGACTTTTCTCTGCCTAACAAGAAACTTGGCATAAAAAGAGTCATAGTCACAATTATTTATTTAAATACAGCAAGAATTAAGTATGAGTGTGACTGAATGACTTCCATTACATTTTTTTTATAATTAATCATTCCTGTGCACGACATTGAATATTTAAATTACAGTAAAAATTTTATTGTCGTTCGATATATAGAGATGACAGAATAACAACCAATTTCCAATAAAACTGTGTATGATTGTTAATTGTGCTGGTTTTGTGGAATATGTAACTACTATTATTGAATACTAGATGGATATATACATACCTGTATCTCTAGTGACATCGAAGAGTTTTGCCTGTAGGTACCGGTTTGGTGGTGTACCTTTAGCTAAGAATAGGCTGCCTCTGTCTGCTGACGTCAGCAAACATACGTTCACCAGGATCTGTAGGCATACAAATATGATATAAATACATATCCTATTACACGTCGTTCCATTTTTAACAAATTGAAAAAGATTACTCAATCACTTTGTTGTATCCTCAATTCACAAAAATGCCAATCCTCTTACAAACCTATTTCGGATTGAACTGTTTAATCTTTTTCACGCGTTGTCTATATATTAATAAAACTTTGTACCCCTTTTCACGAAAATTGCGTGGATGGAAGAGTACGGAATTTCGCACACTGTAGTTTATATAGAGAAGAGGCTGAATGCTATAATTTTAAACAAATATGTTTAAATTTTTGCATAAAAAATACATTACACACACTACCATGTATTTGACACATACACGCATTATATACACATCCGTTTATTGTTACAGTCTGTTTTCAAATTGAGAATAGATTGGTATTGTTTGTCTTTAATATTATTTGTCTAAAGTATTACTGAATTTTAGATTAATTATGGTCGAAATTCGATCACTCCTATTGTTGATAGGTGATAATGGAATAGTGCTCTCGACTGTGCTAACGGTATACGCTGGCGGGGCACCAGTGGAGTATGATAGGATGAGATGAATTCAGGTAGGTTAATCAAATATGGCGAATCATCAGGATTGGCCACAATTGTTTCTAGAACCGCCTGAATGTTGACTTGACATGGTATATTGCAAACAAGAAGCCATTAGTTCCATTAGCAATAATCCTACTGAATATTACTATATAATATTATAATGTTCCTTTGCCTTTATATTTGTATAATGTTTGTGAAAGTCCGCCTCCTCAACCCACCCTAGGAACTGCAGCTGAATTTCACTAGGCTTCCTAATACAACTACTTTAACCATTATAGAAGTTATCAACCGCTAGAATATTGGCCACATCGCTGGGTCGCAGGTCATGAGGTGATATATATACGTACATTAGCTAAATTCCCTCTTATTTGATGGTAGTACACCGTGAAATTGCTTCATCCACTGAATGGGATGTAATAAAGGGTTCAATTACTGAACTTTCCATAAAAGGAATGATTTAGTAGCCAATTACGTTGGGTGAGATTATTTATATTTTCTCCCTTAATGATGATCGGATTACATGTGTACATTTTAACCAACTACTAAAGAAAAGAGGTGAAAAGTTGTCCTGGCCGTGTGTTTCTAATGTGATATGATTATGACTGTGGCCTTGGTGGTCTAGAGGTTTAGTACACCGCCTTAGAATAGAATAGAATAGAAAATCCTTTATTTAAATAAACTAATCTAAGTACTTTTCAATAGTCATCACAAATGTTTTAATCTACCACCCTTCGGAAAGCTGTTTCATCACAAGAATAATGAGCAAAAAACTTATGTGTTGCTCTTTTAAATAATCGTTGTAACTTAACATTTTTAACTCGGGAGGTGTGAATACAAACTACCGACTAGTACTAATTTATTAGGGTCAAATATAAATACACAATAAGATTAAATCAGTCGTAGTAATTAGAGCAGACCAGTCCCTACTAGCAGTACTCTTAGTTCCGATGGTTGCGGTTTCGATTCCTCGCACGATACAAATATTTGTATTTGTGATGATGGTTTGTATGTGTATTGTAGTATTTAAGACTGACTATTCAGGATTGTGTATTGCTTTAAAATTACCTTGTGACATAATACATCGATGTCGAGCTCGTTGGCGACATCTTTGATCAAGTCCATGAACAGATCCGCTTCATCCAACTGGGTTTGTTCAGCGGACCCGCTGGGTGATCGCGACCTCTGTAACAATGATTGTATAATTTAAAACATTCAGTAAGGACTCTTATCACAATTTAACGACCTCAGTGACCTAACAGTTTAGCATAATGCCTTACTTCCGATGGTTTCAAATTCCTAGTACGGTACACATATTTGTATCAATGAGTATGATTTTTTACATAGGTTTCCAATGTGAATTATGTATGTATTTACATGTATGTGGAAATCTATGTATTTATAAGTTGTCTAGTTTCCATAGCACGCTTGGGACTATATGGCCCTATGTGAATTGACCTGAAATATTATTATTATTATATTAAAAAAGAAATATTATTAATCATACCACAAATATACACTATTTTAAAAACGATTCTAATTTATTTTGCGTTAATCATAGGTAGTCTCCATGATTAGGATTTTGAAATGTAATGGTCATATAATTTTTTGCCTAATTAAGCATTCATAATTTCAAAGTTTAATTCATCGATGACTTAATTATTTTTTGTAATGTAGAAATTTTTGATTCAAATTTTTAACAGATAGACAGTCAAAATACTCGAATAAATATTCTATAATACATATAGGATAGTATAACTGCTATAACGATATGTATCATTTAATATATAAGACACACACATAAAGAGGTAGATATAAACAGTATTATTACAAGAAAATTACAAAATCAATATCACCCATACATATTCAGAGAACACCCCAAAATGTTCATAACTGTATTTGCTTGGAGAAGAAGACAAGGCTAATCCGTGATTTGGATCACGTAGCGCACTCCCAAAATTCCTGGAATAAGGAATGCAATCTGAACGCGAGCCGACTAATTTACTCGTTAATAAGTCGACAGGGTTGCAACGGGAATATTTTCAATATTTTCCCAGTCCCACCATCTGTTGGTATTGGATATGATAAGTACAAGAATCATATAGCTATACCTTTAGAAAAGGACTAGCGACCCTTTTCGGTTATGTGCGTGCATGTCGAAATAGAAATGAGTAAATTATTTGTGAAAAAATATACTGAGATTTTTTTTAATATTAACAACTTACTAATAGTAATTGTTGAGAGCGATAGAACATCCATATTATTATAATCAAGAATATATTGAATAGAATCATAACACGGCAGTAATATTATACATTAAGGCGTAAATTAAGGAACTCTTATGAAAATTTCCACCATGGGATAAGGTAAAAGAAATTCTTATTGTCTATTAAAAGAGTTTGTTAGAGTATATTGCATGTTTTAATAATAAATAATCGATAAATGTTTTGCATAAATGCAAATGTTTTTATTGGTGACGTCTTGGATTGTTCTACAAAAATGTGTGTGACTGAAGTGGGATGGGTATAGGATTATATAAAAAGGCTAGAATAATTCGCTATAAAGTTTAGATATTTCCTAAGATGGCTCGCAACAAAAGTGACATAGAATGGTATCAAAATAATATAAGAAATTGTTAAAAGAATGGTGGGCAAACTGCCAGCAAGAATGTCAAGGGATATTTTGTTAAAAAGAATTCAAAAATCGCATATATATGTTAAAAGTTCCATTTTCAAAATTATTAATTTTATTTTTAAGTAATATGTAATGGCTACTTATGATCGTAAACTAAAAGTACATTAGTTATTGTCTATTTCATAGGAAATAGTGAATAGCTACGTATAAAGTAGTCCTGATTAACGAACTGTTCTTTTTTTATTTAATTTAGAAAGGCAAATATGTTTTTAATTATATTTTAGAGTAACTGGCAACCACGCGTTTTCGTATTCCGGAGGATTGACATATCTGCAATTTCACAAGCTTATAATGCAAGCTGTTCAGCGGCGTGTAGTCTATCTCTAGTGATTTCGTATTATAGTCACTCACTAGGTATGGAAAATGATTTTCTGAAATACCAATAAGAGATAAAGGATTCGCAAGTATAAAGTCGCAGTAAGCAGCTTATATTATTATACGAGTACGTATTATATAATAGTACATAATATCGAAAACGGAATTGTATGACATAAAAAGTTATTTTTATATTAGATAGTTTTATCAGACATTTTATTGTAAAGCGATAAGACCGATTTTGAAGTGCATTTTCTAACATACTGTTTCTTTGTGTTTGTTGTACGTGAAGAATAAAAAAATATTATTATTATCTTTAATACTTGGCGGCTTCGGTGGTTCGGTTTGATCACCACTTAAATATCGATGATTGCCGGTTCGATTCTCGCATATTATAAACATATAATTCAGTGTGTCGGTCCGTATGTTATCTTAGTATATTATTTCAATAAAAATAATGTTATTCTATAATATATAGAATAACATTATTATAATATTCAAATTGTTTTATTATATTATTATTATAATATAATAAAACAATTTGAATCAGGGGTAGAGAAAGTTAGAGAAGTAGTAAGAGAGTATTTGTAGCCCTTAGAAACCGTGTTGGTTGGTGGCTTTATCTAATGCCTAATGGCATATGCCATTAGGCATGTGTACATAGTACACTGCTTTTCTTCCGATGGTCCCGGGTTCGAACGCTACAAACATTTGTATTCACGAGTATGATTTTATCGGTCTGGGTATTTTTTATGTATAGGTTATATGTATAGGTATGTATATATTATGTATTTAGAAAAAAAATGCATTTAAATATTCATACTGTTACATATTTGTTTAGTATCCACAACACAAGCTCTGCTTAGCTTAGGGTTAGATGGCGTTGTGTGAATTGTCCAGAGTTATTATTGTCATTCTTATATTTTACTACAACTTTTTGATTACACAAACACACTGCAGGTTTACACACAGTACACTACAGGGTATTTCCTGAACATTCCCTATTCGAAAACAGTCACCCAACTAGCCATTGACTGACTGTAATATTATGTGCATTATTCAACCCACAGAGGACATTACGAGAAAAAGTTCTATTCTTCCAATGGTATTTTCCAACAATAAGAATTTTCCCCGGTCCAAAAGAGCAGATACGAAAAATATATCCCGAATTACGTATTGATTCCCGCTTGAACACGCCGACAGGGAAACTCAATCGTTTCGCACTCTGAAAAGTTGTTTTATGTCCTTATCTAAGTAAAGCCATCACAACGGGCACAAGTTCGAAAGTATCGCCGTGTCGGTAAACAACGGGAGGAATTTTCTTACACTTTTTTTTTTGAGAAATTTATCTTTGACTTCATAAATGAGGGAAAATGCCGATGAAATTGCAGTAAATGTTTGCTTCAGTGAGTTTTGTAAATTTATTCATTCAGACAGTAGATATAATAATTGTAGTATTCTTTATTTGTCACCCATAGGTAAGGATCTTTAAAATATTATATATAGTTGCACTTGTAAATAACAATAGTGATTCTTTTTTCTTGTCTGGAGTCTGAATTAGATCGTATGTGTAATACTAGCTGTACCCACGGTTTAGCTCGCATGAATTTTATAGCCTATGTGTTATTCTGGTGTATAAGCTATATTAATGTAAAGTTTCATTGAATTCCAATTAGTAGTTTTTGCGTGAAAGAGTACCGAACATCGATCCATGCACACTCATAAACTTCCACGTTTACTATATTAGTAAGATCTTTCAGTCATACTAAAAATACTATTAAGTAATATTTAGCATTATTATTTTATTCATATAAATATGAATTTTTTTTTATAACTTCTAAGTGTTTAATATATTTAATCAATTGTTTTTTTTTTTACTAAAATTCTATGCATTGTGATATATTTTTACAAAAATATTGTAATTAGCATTGACTTTTATTATTCTCGCATTTGGTTTTGGATTCTATAAAGAAAGACGAAAGTTAATACGTTAAATCTCGGATGCAACTGGGCAAATGTAATTTAAAATGAGAAGTGATCACGTCTCTATTGAACGAGGAAGGAACGAGCCCGGAAAATTGAGAACAGCTCGAACTAGGTTGAATAAGACTATCGACAACTTCGTAGCTTTCTATGTCGACCCGATCCCTTAGTTTCTGAATTGTATTATTGCACACTAGTTGGTGGGAATTTGCGAAAAAATATATATAAAAAAGTTTCACATCCGCCGCTAGGGCGCGGTGGCTGATTCAGAAATATGATGTTAATTCGCGTACTTATTATTAACATTCAAGGCTTGTTATCTACAATATATTGGGCTCGTACTCCTGAAAATTATCTCTAAATGATGCCGCTAACGGATGTAGCACAATTCACCAAGATACATAGCATAAACACTCAAATATTGTCAAAGTTTGAGATTAACGTATTAGCAGCTTGCAGGGCGGTTGATTGCACAAATCAGACAGTTTTTTTTTAAAGTGATTAGATGCACATTTGCACTCGCGTTAGTGCAACACAGCGCCGCTACTTTACAAGTATATATACTCACCCGCAAATTTAATAAATATACGTAAAATTGCGACAAACATTGGCTGGAAACGTAACAGACCAGTGAAATAACAATACATATATATATCATTATTAATAAATGTTAGACACCACTAGTAATATCCCGTAGTTTTACAAGCGTTTTATATTTAATTAAAATGGCTGCCACCGTCGTCTACCAGCTCCGAGATTTCATTACAATATCCGTTCTCGCTACTAATTCTTTTTCGTTTAACGTTTTTTAGTCAGTTATGCATTTCAGTTGTAGGTGAATACCTCGGCATATATGATGTTTCAAATGTTTCTTTTTGCTCGACTCTTAAAAATTGTAGCGTGGTGCTCGTGGGCTGCGGTAGTCACTTACCACCCGGTATTCCCATGCTCTTTGTACCGGGTACCGTACGTGATAAAAACACCTCCACTATAAAAAAAATAAAAATTGGCTGCGACCCTCCCATGATTTTTGTTTACTCCGAAAACATGTGTATGTTAACGTATCAAAATATAAATAGAGCAAAAATATATCTTCATTATTTTTGTGCGGACCTTCTAGCAAAAAGAGACTACTTGACCTCTATAAATTATCTCAATTACACGTTCATTTATTAGCATGGACCCAACTGAAT